AAAATATTATCTTTATTATTATAAAAGATCTTTTGAGGACAGTCAATAATGACACTGAGTAAAGTAGAATAGAAGTACATGAATGAATCGATTGAGGAGAGTAATCTAGAAGATAAAATGACTAACAAAAACTTAAAAGAATTGAGAATCATAAGAACTCGTGAGCGAGAACAAAACATGTGGAAATGACTCGTGTCGGTTTGTGGGAATAGCCTTCACTTTTAGATATGAGGAGTAAATAATGTGTGACACCTGAGTAAAGGAGGGGTACATGAATGCACCGATACCACATTCGAATGAGAGCAATTCTAAGGATATCACACATCTTTTACCTTGTGCATATTTCTTTGAATGTAACCTTACTCAATATGAATCTTCAATAATTTTACTATCCACCGTCGAACTATTTTTCTCGATCTCAATCTCAACGTATGTCTAAGACAGAATTTCTTATTGTGTTTTCCACATATTTACACTTCTTAAATCAATTTCCATGGTTCTCGTCCTTAGACTTTCTCTCCTTTTGATAAGGCTGAGATGACTTCATCACTAGAGGGAAGATGGCAAGAATACGATCTATCATTTTCATAATCTTGCTCATCTGCAACCCTAGCATAACTCTTTTCTTCCTGACAAACAACACTTCCTGACAAACAACACCAACTATTGGTTCCAAAATTATAAACTTACTGATAAGATGATAAATACAAAGTTCAAGAACAAATAAGATTCGAACAAGATTATTTACGATCAAGTTTCTAGAATGAACGATACCATTCCAAAAAATTCCAATAAAGTTGGCTCGACTTTGACTTTACCAAGTCATTCAAGTTAAAAAGGGAGAAAAGTTATTTTGATTGGTGAGAGGTAAAGAAAGTTAGGCATGGTGGCTTCCACTTTAAAAAAAAAAAAAAGTTGCAAAAGTTTGCCCATAACCTAAAAGAAGAGCCAAAAACAAACCAAACCTTCTTTGTTTATACATATATTTTGGCTTTCCCCTTTTGATCTGATTGCATTTTGAAGGAAAGAAAAGCTTGGTGTTGGTGGTGACTTCATCAGTTTGGGATATTGGAATATTCTCAGCCATGCTCTTAATGACTTAATTGGACCAACAATGAGTTCTTTTAATGAGTCTCATATGGTGTGGTGTTGCTTAGAAGTGGGAGGATTTTTCTTTTCTTTTCTTTTCTTCTGACTTTTATATTATCTCTTTTAATAGAAGTTGATTAGATTAGTTTTGTAATAATCTAAGCAAGATATTGTCGGTTTTGGCTTATTCTATATTGCCGTCTGCCTCACGGTTTTAAAATACGTATACTAGGGAGAGGTTTTCACACCCTTATAAGGAATGCTTCGTTCCCCTCGCTAGCACACCGCCCGGTGTCTAACTTTGATATTATTTGTAACAACCCAAGCCCACCGCTAGCTGATATTGTCTACTTTGGCCCGTTACATATTGTCGTTAGCCTCACGGTCTTAAAACACGTCTACTAGGGAGAGGTTTCCATACTTTTATAAGGAATGCTTCGTTTCCTTCTCCAACCGATGAGAGATCTCACAATCCACCCCTTAGGAGCTAGTGTCTTTGTTGGCACAACACCTTGTGTCTGGCTCTAATACAATTTACAACAGTCTAAGCCCACCACTAGCAGATATTGTCTACTTTGGCCCGGTACGTATCGCCGTTAGCCTCACAGCTTTAAAACACGTTTACTAGGGGGAGGTTTCTATACCTTTATAAAGAATGTTTCGTTCCCCTCTCCAACCGACGTGGGATCTCAAAAAGATGTTAGTTTCATAAAAGTTCATGAAAAAAAACTAATAATAATAAAAATAAAAAAGTAAGAAATTGAGAATGAGATCTGATTTTAAGGACACCCAAATATACATGTTATTTCTTACTATACTACCAACACACAAGAAGTGGTTTACCTTTAAAAAAACTGATGCTTTAGTATATGACCTACAAGACAGAGGAGGGTCAGACTTTGCAGTGATGGTGATAAACAGACCAGTCCAAGAAAAGTAGATGAACAATGCAAAAAAGAAAAATATTCTCTGGAGCAATGGTTTTGGCCTCAAATTTTTCACTTAATCAAACTATCAAACCATTCGGCTATGGTGGGGGAGGGGGAATCTCCAAAACCAGACTGTGGGCTGTAAAGAAACCTTTCTCCATAATCTGTGGCTTGACATGTGAGCATATGAGGGCAGTCCTGCCAAGCAACTTCTAGGAATAGGAAAGATTCAATACTTGCACTGAAGGTAAGATATATCCTAGGTGTATAAATACAAGAGCAGATGGAATGGAGCCATAGATCATGGTCAACTGAGATTTCAACAGGTAGGGGTAGTGCATTTCAATCCAAGCTTACTTATTTTGGCTGTATGAGTGCGTGCTACTAGCACGATGAATTGAAGCGAAGACTTTACGGTGAGTAGTTGCATAAAGCAATCAGTCACTAGATTTAGTAAGTATTGTGAGATCCCACGTTGGTTGGAGAGGAGAATGAAGCATCCCTTATAAGGGTGTGAAACCTCTCTCTAATAGACATGTTTTAAAACCTTGAGGGGAAGTTCAAAAGGGAAAGCCCAAAATGGACAATATATGTTAGTGGTGGGCTTGGGCTATTACAAATGGTATTAGAGCAAGACATCGGGTGGTGTGCAGCGAGAACGCTGGCCCCAAGGGAGTGGATTGTGAGATCCCACATCAGTTGGAGAGGGAAATGAAGCATCCCTTGTAAAGGTGTGGAAACCTCTCCCTAGTAGACGCGTTTTAAAACCTTGAAGGGAAACTTATAATGGGAAGCCTAAAGAGGACACTATCTGTTAGTGGTGGGCTTGAGTTGTTACGAATGGTATCAGAGTTAGACCTTAGGCGGTGTGCCATCGAGGATGCTGACCCCCAAGGGGGTGGATTGTGAGATCCCTACATTGGTTCGAGAGGAGAACGAAACATTCTTTCTAAGGGTATGGAAACTTCTCCCTAGCAGACGCGTTTTAAAAACTGTGAGGCTGATGGCAATACATAAATGGCCAAAGCGGACAATATGTGCTTGCGGTGGGCTTGGGCTGTTACAAATGGTATCAGAGTCAGACACCAGGCAGTGGCCCCCAAGGGGGTGGATTGTGAGATCCCATATTGGTTGGAGAGGTGAATGAAGGATCCCTTGTAAAGGTGTGGAAACCACTTCCTAGTAGACACGTTTTAAAACTTTGAGGGAAAGCCCAGAAGAGAAAATTCAAAGAGGACAATATCTGCTAGCGGCGGGATTTGGCTTTAGACTGTACAAGTATTTAGGCTGTGTGAGAAAGACGAACTGGGGTGAAAGCTTTATGCCACTAGATTCAGTATATTTTGAATCCAATCCAACATAGTTTCAACAGAGTGTCTTACACAGAAGAGTAGTCCCCCACCCACCCTGAACTACTATAAGCAAGACAAATTGAGGAAATGATATTATAGTGAATGCGGCTGATTTTACTAATCCTTTTACATTTATCAATCCTTAACCTTTGCCTTATCATGCTATTTACCAACCATATCTCCCACAATCACTTATATTCTTCTCAACAATCTTATGCACTCGCCTTCCACCATTAACGCCCCAGTGTCAAACCATGTCCTTGGACTTGACACAGCTGTGGCATCGTTAATCTAAACCCCAGCGTCCAGCATTAGCACAAACAGCCTAATGGCCTCAACAGACCGAGAAAGTAAATGATATTCTTTCAAGAAACGTACATCAGAGGCCATATAAAGCCTCTGTCAGATGAACTAAACCAGAGAGAATCTACTAACCAATAACAAACCAAGCAAACGGACCATACAGAAAACACTCACCTAACCCATCAATCATAGAACTCAATTTGAACCTAAATCTCTCACAAACATTTCATCAAACAATTCATATGCAAGACCCGAATCGCCAAACATGAAGCACAACCGAATCAACGAGTTTTGCTCAAAGCAATCCAATGCCATACCTAACTCATATCCGGATCGGGAAGAAGATGGGAATACGAGCCAGGTTCATTTCGAATTGGGCTTCCAGATTTGAAAACTCGTGCATGAAGCTACAGGGCTTCGCTCATGCTACTGAAAGTGAAGCATAATAAATGTAAAATATAAAAACTCTAATTTGAGAGAGACCTAGTATATAAATATGCTGACGTGTCTAAATACATTATTAAAATAATAACATCTTTTTTTCAATGAAATAATCTCATTATTATTTTTAAAACAACAAATACCAAATTAATAATCACTAAAGATGAAATATTAAAGATTAATTGATATGTTTAATGTATTATATATTACTTTTCCTCATTAATTTTATACCGACAAAATAAATAAATAAAATATATTGGTGCAAGAGTCCACATTGGTTGGGGAGGAGAATAAAACACCTATTAGGGTTTGGAAACCTTCCCCTAGTACACGCGTTTTTAAGCCCCGAGAAAAAGTCCAATGAGGACAATATGTACTAACGGTGTGCTTGTACCGTTACAAATGGTATCAGAGCCAGACACTAGACTATGTGCCAGCGAGAGAAGGCTGTTCTCCGAAGAGGGTAGACACGAGACAACGTGCTAGTAAGGGAAGAACCTTCCCCTAATAGACGCGTCCTTGGGTTGCATGACCAATGAGCTCGAGAGGTTCATATTAAATCAAGTCAAGTTGTCTCAGTTGTATCGAATTGACAAGTCGAGTCCAACTTATTAGTGTTTTTTACTCTCTTGCTTCATTATTTGGACCCTCGCTCATCTCGGTTTGGACGATCCTTGTTCGACCTTAATTTCCTTTCGTCCGCTATAATTTTATGTAATTGTCTAAAATATATTCTTAAAAACTTCAAAATCTAAAGACCATGATAACTAAATACCGACCCACCTAAGCATATTTCAACATTATATTATCCATTAAAAGTTCAAATCTTTAGCTCATTGATTCTTGAAAATTTAAAGATTAAATGGGTAAAATCCGATTAAATCCCATTGAATGAGAAACCTTCACGATTTCATCATCAAACGACACTTGGATGAGGACGAACATCGTAACAGACTCGTCGTGAGAAAAATCATGCGGGAAACCAACCAATTTCCATGCAGCCGCGTAAAAGAATCCATCAGATCATCTAAATTAAGCTTCCCTTCTTTCAAATTAATGGCAATCTAGGCGATTCCCTCGCGTTTCTGCCGATTTCCTTCCTTTTTCCACCGATCCTTTCTTTACCTTCGTTGGCATTGGCGCCCCATCTTCTCAGATTCTTCAGCAATTTTGTGTATGTTCCTTCAAAATCATTCTTCTTTTTGCTTATCTCTAACATTTGCTTCTCAATTTTAGGTTATTATCTGCCCCTCCGATCTGATTCCATCAATATCTTGTAAGTGCGCTCCCGTTTGATTCCATCAATAGCTTGTAACTTCATTTTTCGTTCAATTTTGTATTTGATTTCGATGTTCTTTGATGATCGGAGTTATCATGATGGTGTGCATTTGATTCGATTTGTTGTTTCTTTTCCCATTTTGGGTCTTATGTAGTTTGATTTTTCTTCACTCAGGATAGTGATTTGGTTGATTTCATTGAACGTGATTGAAGTTGAAAAGCATTGAGATTCAAAAGATATGGTGATGGAAACGGGTTATTATGAGGTATTGGGTGTCAGCTTTGATGCTACCCCTGCAGAAATTAAAAAAGCTTACTACGTTAAGGTGATTTTTCATGGCTTTGATGATTAATGAATCTCATTTAAAATGTTCATTTTGCCGGAATGTCTGAGAAACATATGTTGCCTCTTAGTTTTAGATTCATTTCTTGTTGTCAATGTTGAGGACGTCTTATGATCTGGATAGGAAGCTTTGTTAATGGTTTCTTTCTATAATGGAGTATTGGTCCATTCTTTCCGTTATGCTCGGTCCACCCGTGAGTCTTCAAGAAGGCTTCGGCCTTTGGCTGTTTGAAGCCAGACAGCTCGAGAACCTTTGAGAGTGTATCTCTAAATATTCCAAGTCTTAGGCTCTTAGCACAGGATGTCATGGGGTGGGAACTTTGTTAATGTTGGGAGTGCCATCTTATAACCTTAATGTCCACTTTTCAGGCAAGGTTAGTTCATCCAGATAAGAATCAAGGAGATCCGAAAGCTGCAGAAAATTTTCAGGTGAATTCCTATTTTGTTAGCACTACCTGTTAGTTTTATTGTCAAACAGGAAATCCGACGCATGATTCTTTATGCAATTGCTTGTAATGGTTCTCGTGAAGGTACTTGGAGAGGCTTATCAGGTATTGAGTGATCCCGAGAAGCGTGATGCGTATAACATTTATGGGAAGGCAGGAGTACAACAGTAAGTTTCTTAAATCGAGAATGTGGTTCGGAAATGATCATATCTGTTTTTTTGTATGGGTGTGTATGGATGCATATCTGTTTTTTTGTTGCAAGTTCGGAAATGATCAAATTACCACTAACGTCCAAAAGCTTAAGCTAATAGGTTCGGGTATTAAATCACCTAAATATTTCTTAAACACTCTCCTTTAATGATAGGTTAAAAATTTGTGCTTTCTAATAAGAACTACAACTTGAAGAAACAATATCAAGTCGTGAGTTTTGCATGTTGAAAGTGACACTATGAGTCTAAAAATTATGTTTCACTGGTTTTTTTTTGAGATTTCAAGTTGGTTGGTAAGGAGAACGAAGCATTTCTTATAAGGGTGTGGAAACCTCTCCCTAGTAGACGTGTTTTAAAAAGATTTGAGGGGAAGTCCGAAAGGGAAAGCCTAAAGAGGACAATATCTGCTAGCGGTGGGCTTGGGCTGTTATAAATGTTATCAGAGCCAGACACCAGGTGGTGGGCTAGTGAGAACGTTGGGTCCCCAAGGGGGGTAGATTGTGAGATCCTACATTGGTTGGAGAGGGGAACGAAACATTCCTTATAAGAGTGTAGAAACCTCTCCCTAGCAGACGCGTTTTAAAAACCTTGAGGGAAAGCCCGAAAGGGAAAGTCCAAAGAGGACAATATCTGCTAACGGTGGGCTTGAGATATTATTAATGTATTAGAGTTAGACACTGGGCGGTGTACCAGCGAGGATGCTGGGTTCCCAAGGGGAGTGAATTACGAGATCCCACATTGGTTGGAGAGAGGAATGAAGCATTCCTTGTAAGGGTGTGGAAACCTCTCCCTAGTAATATTTTAAAAACCGTGAGAGGAAGCTTAAAAGGAAAGACTAAAGAGGACCATATCTGCTAACAGTGGGCTTGGGCTATTACATTCTTTTCTCACTTATTGGTTCATTCCTTCTTATGGAAAAAGGATGGATAGGGTAATCCCCTTATTTTTTTTCCCCTTGTTTTTCTTAGGGACGGCATGGTGGATCCTGCAGCTGTGTTCGGTATGATTTTTGGAAGTGAATTCTTTGAAGTGTATGTTGGTAAGCTTGCTTTGGCTGTACTATCAACTCTGGAAATGGAGGATGATTCCCAAGACTCCGAGATACGCAGACTAAAAATTCAGGAAAAGATGCAGGTACGCTTTTCCCTCGAGTTCAGTGATTCAGATGTTAAAGCAGTCTTTTCCATGACATTTACCCATACTAGTAAGAATACAGCTGTTTCAAAGGGAAAGGGAAGAAAGACTTGTAAATATTTTGAAAGAGCGCCTCCAGCCATATGTCGATGGTCAGATTGACGAGTTTGTGGCGTGGGCAAGTTCAGAAGCACAACGACTCTCAAATGCCGGTATGTATAACTGTTACGTTATTTTCTCTATAAAAAACATTCTAGTTTGTGCACTTTCTATAATGCTTGTTATTTGCAATCAGCTTTTGGTGAGACTATGCTGCACACAATTGGATACATATACACAAGGAGAGCTTCTAAGGAACTCGGGAAGGACAGACGTTATATGAATGTTCCGTTTCTAGCCGAGTGGGTGCGAGATAAAGGACACCAGATAAAATCACAAGTTATAGCAGCTTCAGGTATCATTCTCTCTTGGTTCTAAAACTTTCAAACCTTTAATTTGGATCCTAAATTGTGCACTTCTATGCAGGTGCTGTTTCTTTGATTCAGTTACAGGAAGAGTTGAAGAGGTTGAATGAAGGAGATGACAGAGACGGGAACGTGGCAAAAGCCATTGAAGAGAAGAAAGGTGCTGTTCTTAACTCGCTTTGGCAGATTAATGTGGTCGACATCGAATCTACTCTGTCACACGTCTGCCACATGGTGAGTTGCAATATCATACTTTCTAACCAGCCTAGGATTGTTGAACTCAGCATTGTGAGGCTGGCTATATATTTTGCACTTCTGATCAATGCTTTCACATAAATGAGAACTAGAAAATCATTGTTTACGGGTCACCCGAGCATTTACGTAGATTGGATAGCATCAACTTCAGTATTCTCTCATGTATAGAAAGAAAATCATTGTTTACGGGTTACCCGAGCATTTATGTAGATTGGAAAAGCATCAGCTTTAGTATTCTCTCATGTATAAGAAGAAAATCATTGTTTACGGGTCACCCGAGCATTAACGTAGATTAGAAAAGCATCAACTTTAGTATTCTCTCATATACAGAAACGAATTCTTCTCGTTTTAACTACTCTTCTCAACCCCCCTCCTCCCACCCTTAAAGTCCGAAAAAAAAAGGTCTCAAATAAACATGAACTCAGACCTATCAATGAAAACGAACATGACATAAACAAACATCAAGTCATCTCGATTCACACAAGCACATCTTTGACGAACTATCTGTTGTGTATTAGGTTCTTAGGGACCCAAGTGTGTCGAAGGACGAACTGAAGCTACGAGCGAGAGCACTGAAGATGTTCGGAGCAATCCTGCAAGTAAAAGCCATAAGAAAAACGGTTTGGGTACGTTAAGTTACGTTACATATGTGTGTTGATTGAACCATGTGTTGCTAACTTTTCAGGGTGCAAAGTCAGCTTACAGCAGAGAAAACAGCCTGAGGCATGAAACTGAGAGATCACTGGGCAGTGCTTCAAGTTCATGATCTCGCACACTTCCATGGAAACTGGTAGCCTCCTCACTTTCTCTGCTCAAGGATGGTGATCTGCTGATGTTCTTCGTTGTTCTTTATATATTTAAATTGAGTGAATCTTCTTGTATTTTGTATGCTTTTTTTGAGAATGCCTTCATTTTTTTCAACTTTTTTGGTTCTTAATTTGAAATTTTTAGCTTAGAATCTGCAATTTTTGTTGTAAATACCCTATAGAGGAATTGGGTTTCTTAATCATTATTTATTTATTTATTTAAACATTATTTGTTTATTTTATTTTATTTTAACACCTAAAACTTTAAAATCTTTTTGATTTAGTTTCATTTCTTGCTACAAATTTTTTAATGACTCATCACTGGTCTCTGATGCTTAAGTTAATTTTATTCTTATTATCGTTATAAAAGTTTTAATTTAGTCCTATAACTGGAGAACTTCTCAAAAATACCTTTGAAATTGTATTAGGTTCGTATTAACCTTTCATGTAAGATTTGTGTGTTGACTTATGAGATGTGTCGAATCGAAAAGATATAAAGGGAATGGTTGTTAGTGGGAGTTGTTTTGCATACCAAATTTTAACCAAACTTTGGTTTGTCAACTCTTATTCATAAATAAATAAATAAATAATTAATTAATTAATTAAAATTTTTATTTTCAATTATTGCACCATTGGTCCCCCATTTGAGAAACTTTGCAATTGCATGCTTTTCCTTTTTCCTTTTTTTTTTTTAATTTTTAAAAAAAATCCATTTGATTAAAAAAAAAAAAAAAAAAAACACAGAGAGACATGAATGATGAAGAAGATGAACACGAAAGTGAGATCTTTTGAGGTCATTGTCCAATCAACCCTCTTTTGCTTTATGTTACCAATTGCCCTTTATTGTAATGCAAACTTTCATGAATTTGTTCTCTCTTTCTCATGAGTAGTGAATAGATCTTGTGTTCATTTTGTATAGTTATTAGGTTTATATAAAGCTCCATCCCTACGATTCAATCCAGATTTGAAATTCGGGTTTGACAGCTAATGACCCAGTGTGAGATTTCACATTGGTTAGAGAGTAGAACGAAACATTTCTTATAAGGGTGCAGAAACTTCTCCCTAATAGATGCATTTTAAAATCGTGAGGCTGACGGTGATACATAACGTGTCGAAATGGACAATATCTACTAGTGGTGGACTTGAGTTATTACAAATGATATTAGGTCCAGTCACCGAACGGTGCAAGACATTGGTTAGAGTAGGGCTAAACCCTGTTTATAGTAGACGCGTTTTAAAATTGTGATGCTAAAGACGATATGTAAATGGGATAAAGCGGACAATATCTACTACCGTTGGACTTGAGCTGTTACAAAATGGTATCAGAGCCAGTCATCGAATGATGGTCGAAGTAAAACTAGACCCTCTCCGTAGCATACGCGTTTTAAAATCGTGAGGCTGATTGCGATACATAACAAGCCAAAACATATAATATCTGCTAGCGGTGGACTTGAGCTGTTACACCCCGACAATCTTCACGTGCATGTGTTCAACAACGTGCATGTGTTTGATAAGAACGAGTATCATTTGAAGGTAGAACGAGTATGTGTTTGATAAGAACGAGTGTCATTTGAAGCTAGAACGAATATGTGTTTGATAAGAACGAGTATCATTTGAAGCTAGAACGAGTATCAATGGAAGCTAAGAACATACCCATTAAAAATATTAAGATATTAGATACTCGAGCTAAGAGCATCTGTTTATGGTCCATGATGAAGTTGTATGATGTTTAGTGGTATTTGGTGTGTTGTCTTTGTCTTTAAGGATAAATAATGGCACTGAGATTTCCACAAAGTTAAAAGTTGCTTTATAACCCAACCTAACCCTTCTCTTTTTTAGCCACTTTCTCATTAAACTAAGTAATCCACTAATGGCCATTTGCATAAGCTCCAACATTTTCCATTACACTCCTTAAATTCCCTTTTTATTACACAACCCAACAATATTCCCAAATCCCAATGGGGTTTGCCCTAATTTTGTTTTACCACAAATTAAACCATCCTTTTGACTTTCTTGAACATGGGTCGGAGGGAAAATTGAGTATAACGGTAGATAGTGTAGTTAGATCGTTCTCGGTTGGATGTGGTCTCGGTTCATTCATGGATTTTTTTGTTTATTATTCGGACGTCACATACCCACCAACTTCTCCCTCACGTTTTAAACTTTAAAAGAAAACCTGAAAGGGAAACCCCAAAGATGACAATATTCACTAGCGGTGAGCTTGAGCTGTTACAAATGGTATTAGAGCTAGACATCGGGCGGTGTGCCAGCGAGGAGGCTAGCCCCAAAGGGGATAGACACCAGATGGTGTGCTAGTGAGGACGCTGGGCCATGAAACATTCTTTATATGGGTGTGGAACCTCTTTCTAACATACATGTTTTAAAAACCTTAAAAGTAAGTTCGAAAGGAAAAACCCAAACACTCGAGATAAATTCAAAGGGAAGCTAATACCCTATTATACATATCTTAAAATCCACTAAAGCTTGTGATGACTTAGTGCACCAACAAAACAAAACAAAAGTGGTTTCTTTCTCCCTTTTCATTTGAATTTTAAACTCAAAAGCATTAAAGCAAGTGCACAAATGATATTGTTTATAATTAATAGCCATCCTTTAGCTTATCTATAAGACCCCATCACTTTGTCCAATTCATTGTCCCATAAATCATAACTAAGCAAGCTTCATTCGGGTCTATGCTCGAGAAACAAGAGAAGAAGAAGAAGAAAAACACGATCATAAGGTTGTTTCTATCATATCGGAGTCATGCTTCTCAAGTATAAGCTCAACTTCATCCTCGTCCTCCTCCTCGTTTCGGCCTCGTTTTTATCCACCATTTGCTCAGCAGGTCTAACTTATCCATCTAAGCTTCTAGATTCATTACGAGATTTAATAGTTTAACCTAATCGTTCTTTAAAACTATGTTACGATCACGTTCTTTGTCTATATGTCTTTTAAAACGTAAGAGATTCAAACTTCTAACCTTTTAATCGAGAATACGTGTCTTAACTAGTTGAATCATGCTAGTATAACTAAACACGTTGTCTATGTCACTCGTACTTCTCGTTCTGTGTTGTCTTTTAAGTAGTTAGTGATAGAATTACTCAACTATCAAGACGTATCTTTTGACAAGGATGTTTTTGAAGCTAGCTTGTCAAATGAAAAGTGTTCTAAAAAAAGTAGCATTAGAACACTTTTAAAAAAACACCAATTATTCGAACATGTTTTTCTCCAACAACTAAAGATAACCTTATTAATGAAAAAAAAAAAAAAACAGAGAATCTTATTTGCATGCGTAACATGTTAATGGTGCAAATTAAGGGTTCTGTTTTTTTTTCATTGGTAACTGAGCTGTTCGTCAGTGCTTACTTGAAAAGGGTTAGCTGGCTGCTTTTCTGATGTGCTGTCTTTGTAGTTGAAGGTCGAGCTGATAAGCCGGTTCATCAGGGCAGTAATGGTAGAGTCGTGCATGAGGTTCGTATTTTTGTTCGGTCATAGCTAACATAAACATAACTCAACTAATTAAATACATTAATAAAATTGTTTCGATGCTTCATAATCTCAACGTGCTTGTATTTTGTTGAAAATTTACATGAAACTTTTTCACGAGAATCTTTATTGTTCTCATTAACTTTTTCGTTACGAGTAATCAAATTGGGTCGGTAATTATTTTTATCTCTTATAAAAATATTTGAATTCTCAGCTATATTCGAAAATGTAACGGTTAAATTTCACTACTAGTAGATATTGTCTTTTTTAGACTTTAAGGTTTTAAAACATGTCAAATATGAAAGATTTCCACACCCTTATAAGAAATACTCTGTTCCCCTCTCTAACCGATGTGGGATCTCACAATCCACCTCCTTATGGGTCCAGCGTCCTCGTTGGCACACCGTCGCAATCTGACTCTGATACCCATTTGAAACAGTCCAAGTTCACCGCTAGTAGATATTGTATTTTTGGACTTTCCCTTCCAGGCTTCCCCTCATAGTTTTAAAACGCGTCGAGGTTTCCACACTCTTATAAGAAACTGTTTATCTTTAGTCTTCAAAACTTAGCTCGGGTTTTGAAAATACCCAACTCATGGGTAGAAGCAATAAACTCCGAGAATTTAAAACCCTAAAACGAGCATACGAACATTTTGAATAAAGTTTTGAACTTTATTATAATTATATTAGGATGGGAAGAAGAAGATGGAGGAAATCATCCATGAAAGGGTTTTGAGGGTAAACACCAGGGACTATGGAAGGTATGATCCAGCTCCAGCTTTTGTGAAGCCTCCTTTCAAGCTCATCCCCAACTGATATCTAGAACCTTAGCTTATAAATAAATAATCACAAATATATCATGTGTTTCATATTATAAGTACATATATATAAGTATAATGTATTATCATATTATATAATATAGTGTGTAATGGTCACATATATATGAATATAAAGCTTTGTAACGTCTATTATATCTGGTCGTTGAGATTTAAGTTTAATTTTTATTTGGTTTTTGAGCGTTTTATAGTACGATGTTTAGTTTCGAGGTTTGAATTTTGTTTCTAATTATTCCCGATGTTTGGAATTGAGATTTGACACTTGATTGTCCCGACATTCTCTGCGACATGACAACGTTGTCTATGTGTCTCGAACTACTTCTTTGTTCTCATTCACGTGTTTCTTAGAAAAAATCTTATGCTCGCATAACTTTCGAGTTATTATGATTGAGTCTCCAAAAAGAAAGACATTAGTCTTATTTGTATAAGTAGTAAATATCAATTTTTTTTTAACATTCTTAATCATTATATCTTTGTTGAGATAAACTCAAATAAGCTACACTATCGGAACCAAATAATTGAGCTCTCTTATGTTTATGATGAGCTCAAACGAGCTGATATAATTGAACGAGAGGAAAGACTCTAACAATATAAATGAGCTAACCGAGTCTTTACTATAATAAGGGTAATGGTCTGTAACCTATGGAAGCCCTAATGACTAAGACGCATGAGCTACTCGTTTAAAATGATTTTTTAACTAAATCCAACCCTTACCAGGAGTCTACACGAGTTGGGTAATGTTGGGTTAGAGAAATCTTTTGGATTAACCCAAAATTTCAGATTGGTTGGGTTGGTGACCCGAGCACCACGAATAAAGTTCACAACCTAACCCAACTCTCTATTTTCAGGTTGGGTTGAGTTGTCGAGTTTTTTTTTTAAAAATTATTTTAAAAAATTCTACTCAAGCACAATACATACATGTTATATTAATAATTAAAATCTCATAAAATTCAAATATCAAACATTGGATTGGATTGGTTAAGTCAGCCGATTACAAATATCAAATATTCTTAATTTTTATAATAATCTTGAACATATGATAGGGTAGAGGATAGAAGAGCATTGTGGTCGGACCAAAAAAATGTCAACCTGCAAACCAACTTGAATTCTCAGTCTATTCAACTCAACCCAACCCAACCCAAACGGAATAAAAATCTAACCCGTTTAGGTTGAGTAGTCCGAGATAATCGAATTCTTTACTAATTAATTTACGAAAGATTATAATTTAAACTGATATAATTATTAATCTAAAATTTTTATGCTTATGATTGAACTAACTTTTTTATTTAATTATTAAATTGGAAATTTCCCTAGCAATAGTGCTTCAGTACACAGCTATTAAAGCATACTTTTTAAGAATTTTTCTTTTTTTTTTTTTAAAAAAAAAAGAATAATAATTAGGGGAAAAAAGCCCACTAAGTAACGACCGTACATCAAAACGGAAAGTTAAACTGCCGTTAACATCCAACGTCACTGTAGTGGAAGATTCCCCCAAATGACCTAACGTCGTTAATTAAACCGTTTGGAACGTGCCCCTCTCAGTCTTTCTGTGTTATGAAGAAAACCCAGCTTTAGGTTCACCTCCACTTTCTCCCTCTAAAACCCTTTCTCTCTCCTCTTTTTCTCTCTCTTTCAAGTTCGAGATTGGGCTCTCTGAAGGTACGGTTTTTGATCATTTCGGTGCATGATTGCTTTTGTTTGAACTAATTGCGTTTCAGAATCTAATGAGGGTTTTGTTTGTTTGTTTCGATTAGTTTGGGGTTTTGTTTTTTTTTTTTTTGCTTTTTTTTTGCTTTTTTTTTTTTTTTTTTT